ATATGATGGTGGGGCTTGAACTGGGCTAATGGGTCAGGCAGGGACTTGACGCAGGGAGGTAGGAGAGGCAGAGAGGAAGTGGGTGGGAAGGTCCTGGGACCCCTTTGGACAGGGAATAAGACAGGTCTGTCTGGGAAAGCTCATGGCAAATGAGGTACAAAGGGAGAAGGGGCAGCTGCCCTCCTCCCGGATAAATACAGAGCTCCCATCATGGGGCCCTCCGGTGACCTGGCCCTGCATTCCTCTCCAGCCTTGTCTCCATCCAACCCCCCCCCCCCTCAGTTTTACACGTGGTTTGTCAGCCGCAGCAGCCCCCACATGTTCCTGCTCCTGCTCACATGCTCACTCCCTCCGCCATCCCCCTCTGGACTTGAGTCCTTGCACTCCCATCCCTCTTCTCCCCGCAGGGGCTTAGCGCCGCCCCCTTCTAGGAAGCCCCTCCCTTCTCCCACCCCATCCTCGTGCTCACCCCCAGCGCAGGCACTAGACCTGGCTGCGGGAATCTGTTCCCCTGTTGGGCTGGGTGGTTTTTGTAGTCAGGAATCGCTTCTTACTCATCTTTGTACTCTGATCCTCTAGCGTGGAGCCTGGTACACGGACGATTTGTTCAGTGATATGCATTGACTGAGCGAACAAGATGAAAAAAAGATCGCTGCCCTTCTAAAAATGTCAGCTTTGTTGTGTAGAATAGCGCGGGCACCGCAGTTACAGCTCAGACACACATCTGCAAGGAGAGATTGTCTCCACCGCTCACATGCAGGGGGTTTCTGGGGGGAAGACTGACGGATTCCTGGGTGATCTCCTGTTATGCAACAACGCACATGTTTACTATGTGCCTCACCTTACAAGACAGCAGCGGGGAGAGAAGGGGTGAGGAAGGAAGTTCCAAGGGCCATTACAATTTGAGCAAGGCGTAGGAAGTGAATAAGGAGCTGGTGGGAAGAATGCTTTACATACAGGTCTACCTTGTTATATTCATGGTTAAGTCTACCTCTTTTATTGCCTCCAAAATCGTCGCCTCCAGAACTGACTTGGCATGAGCTGCTGGCAGTTCAGGTATTTATTTGAACAGAAGCAATGAAGCTTCATGAAAATTCAAAGCATAGCTTTGACATTCCTATTCAGTTACAGTTTAAACTAGTTGGGAACATCAAGTTGTATATACCTGCTTCATGTGGGTATGGTTTTATATATATGTGTGTGTGTGTATTTATTTATTTATAATATATATATTAAAATTATAAGATAAAGATAAAATCTTTATCTTTTAATGTCTGGCAGCCAAAGCCAGAACCCTTCCAGAATGAGTCTCATGGCAAGGTACTTTTAGACTGAGCTTCCAGAATGAGTCTCATGGCAAGGTACTTTTAGACTGAGATGCATGTGCTCAAGATGTTCCTGGCTGGGCAGGTACAGTGTGGAGATTCTTCTTAGTCTGCCCCAACCTGGTGGGAGAAGACCCAGAACAGAATGTGGGATATCTTACTAGTCAAGTTTTCAGTGCTCTATGCAGTAGTAGAGCATGCAGATTCGTTTTCACTAATCCAAGAGGAAGCTGAGGCTGAGAGAAAGTATTTAGAGCCTTAATTTCTGGAAGGGAATGAATGTATGTATCAGCATGGAGAGACAGACATGTATAACCTTTGAGGTTAGAAGGTCAGAACTCTGGTTTTTCTGACATAGTCCTTGGATGTGTGTGTGTGTGTGCATGTGTGCGCACGTGCTGTACGTGTTTTGCCTTCTGAAAACTTTAGACTTGTTTGATGGTCTGGAATAGAATCTGTAATCCAGGTCACATATTCATTTCACAATATCTCACATGAATAGAAACCTAAATGGCATTCATAATACCTTAATCCATCAAATAAGAGAGTGTGTGTGTGTGTGTGTGTGTGTGTGTGTGTGTGTTCTAGAGGAATCTAGTAAAGGACTGAATACTGAAAAGAGTTGTTTCAATGCCTTTGTCCTACATTAGAACAAGAAATTGCTGGCAGAGAACTGTGATTTCAGCCATTTGACTAGGGTTTTGGTAATAACTCAACTGTTGTAGGATCATAGTATGTGAATTCATATTTGTCATGGCTTATAGTGAAGTTAAAGATGCATGGCTGGTCTTCAGACTTTAAGAACAAGAGAGAGTAAGTGTGGGATATAGTATCTAAGAGGTGTTGTTCTAGGGATCCACAGTCCTGGGCTAAGAATCAGAATATGCTCCCCAAGTCATTCTTCATCTGCCAAACATCTCACACTCTTCCCAGAATGAACCACTGGTATTGGCTAGACTTGAGTTTGATTCCAAACTATGTCCTTTTTAACACTGTAACTACAAACTTTTGAAGTATCTACAAGTTGTCTGAGTTCAACTGCTTGGTTCCAGGTTAGATACAGTTCAACAGACAATTAAAATCATCTTGGAAAAGAACTATGGAGGTCAAGTTCAGAAACATTTTTAAATATTCAGTAGAGAAAAACATCCATACCTTGTAACCAGTATGTATTTTTGTGTTTTCTTTTTCTCTAACAATTAGATAAAATTACCATTAAAACTGTTATTCAAATATAGGGAAAAAAAACTTTTATGTTTCTACCAGATGCTTCTTTTATTTAGTGTTCTCTTCTGCTTTTCTTCTTTTCGCCCAAGAATACACCACTGTGTCCTTGTGTTTACAGGGTTTCTCCATAAAATGGTTTGGGGATAAGGAAGAGGTAAGCAAATTGATCCTAGTCATTCCCCACAGAAGTAACTGCACCTTCTCAATGTCCTGCACCCTATTCCCTACTTTATTTCCCAACAAAAGGAGGAAGATAAATATGAGAAATTCCCACAAGTCTAGTCTGTAAATCTCTGGAATCCAGTTCCTTCCATATAGAATAAGCTTTCCATCAACCAGTGTGTGTGTGTTTCCCATTCTTGCCATGGTCTACTTTATAAAACGTGCAAATATAAAATAAGACAATAGTAATTTCCCTGGCCCAAGTCATGTATATTTGAATTAATCTGCAACTGAAGAATCAAAATTCATGCTCAGGGAAGAAGAGCTGTGGAAAGCTCACCCATGAATAAGAGAGAATGTCACAGACTAGATACTGGGTATGTGTAGCCTTCCCAAACCAGTGTTGTCTATTCCTGGAGGCAGTACACTGGCTGAATTGTTGGAAAGATGTTACTGAGGGACGCCAGGAGCCACTCTTCACTGGTGTCCTTTCAGAAGGCAGAGTAATGTGTCAACATCTACCAAGAGGCCTCCTGCCAGGTTCACCACAGCCAGTGAGCCAGTAGCACAAGTAGCTACAGGAAGGTCCCTCGCTGCCCCTTTGAGCCTCTTCAGGAATGTTCCTTGGCACAGAGGACATTGGAATAGAACAGGCCTTCTGTTGCTGCATTCCACAGTTGTATGAGACCCTGGTCACTTACGTGCTTGAGAGTTTTTTTGGGTTTTTTTTTTTTTTTTAAAGAAGCACCAGAAGTTAGAAAGAAGCCTTTTCTTTTTCTTTTCTTTTAAAGAGAGAGTGAGAGAGAGAAAGAGAGAATTCTTTTTTAATATTTATTTTTTAGTTTTCGGTGAGCACAACATCTTTGTTTGTATGTGGTGCTGAGGATCAAACCCGGGCCGCACGCATGCCAGGCCAGCGCGTTACCGCTTGAGCCACATCCCCAGCCCCGAGAGTTTTTTGGGTTTTGTTTGTTTGTTTTTAAGCGTGCTGATTTGGGGAAGCAAGAAGCTTTTAATTAGAAGTAAAAGTCATTGCTGTAAGGGGAAGAAATAAGTAAAATAAAATGCAGAGTAGATACTTTTTTAAAAGCTGTGTGTTAAATTGTCATGACTCTCAGTAGAGGTTTCTCTGGTTGGCTCAGGGAATTACAGTGCTCTAATCAAGAAATATGTGCCTGCTCCTTAGAACTCCCAAGAGACCTGGTGTGGAGACTCCTTGCTCTATAGGACAGCCCAGGGAGGTAGTTGGATTTCATTTCTCACTCAGCCCCAAGACCCTGGAAGTAAACCTAGTGTCGTGTTTCCCAGGGGTCTCCTGAGCTGCAGGTAAACTAAGAATAAATGTAGAATGTCGCTGGATTCAGAACCTCATTCCCAAGGCAGCACATGATCCTTTCCAGGGAGGGGATGGAAGAATTGCATTTTTCAAAGTGCATTCTTTCGTGTCAGGCTGATTTTCATTGTCATGGGCCTAATTTATTTGCAAGGCTAAAAGCAGACCAATAGGAATTCATACCCAGCCTCTGAACCGTCACGTTATCAGCCTGTAACTTGAAGTCATCTAGAGTATTCATTGCAGATTGTCAAAATTAATGACATAAATTGTGTTCCAGTTAACTGAGATTGTAGAAGGATAAGATCAATCTCAAATATGAGAAACCCAAGTAAACAATTATAATTGATTTACTCCCGATTCGATATTGAATCTTAAATGCTTTATATTCTGAGAGGCATTAAAATCCTCAGGGAATATGTATTCAGTAGTCATGCTCACAGGCAGTCCAGAAAATCAGATGCTACGGTTAAGGAGTTCTTTTATAAGAGCTATGTTTTCCAGATCGTTCCTCTCATTTTCCACTAGGATGTGGAGTTGTACCATATTGTGTGGTAGTGAAGAATACAGCCTTGTGACTAGAGCCCTTGCCTGGCAATGCGTGGGGCCTTGAGTTCAATCCCAAGCACCGCAAAAAAAGAAACAAGAAAAAAGAATACAGCCTCTTCACTGAATACACATTTGCTCTTCTAGTTTTTACTACTTCCAAACATGTAGGGAAGACTGTTTAATGGGGGCCTTGTTTTCTTTATCCTATAAAGTGGGGCCAGTATTAGCATTGCCTCACTGAGCGGGTATAGAGATGAAACGAATTAATACGTGTCACTGGCACATGGTGAGCACATTAAGTCAGTGTTCCTTGTTACTGTTACGAGATGTTTTTAGAAATCCAGTGTATGTCTGTAGTAACGGGGAATCTATGTCCTTGGTTATAATCTCTTCTGTCCTGACAGGAAAGTGGCAGATGCTCAGTGGCGGCCTCCTGAACATCACCAAGGTGTCCTTCTCAGACCGCGGAAAATACACGTGTGTGGCTTCTAACATCTACGGCACTGTGAACAACACGGTGACCCTGAGAGTCATCTTTACCTCTGGAGACATGGGCGTCTACTACATGGTTGTGTGCCTCGTGGCCTTCACCATCGTCATGATCCTCAACATCACCCGCCTGTGCATGATGAGCAGCCACCTGAAGAAGACGGAGAAAGCCATCAACGAGTTCTTTAGGACAGAAGGTGCAGAGAAGCTGCAAAAGGCATTTGAGATCGCCAAGCGGATCCCCATCATCACCTCAGCCAAAACCCTAGAGCTTGCCAAAGTCACCCAGTTCAAAACCATGGAGTTCGCCCGTTACATCGAAGAGCTCGCCAGGAGTGTGCCTCTGCCTCCTCTCATCATGAACTGCAGGACCATCATGGAGGAAATCATGGAAGTGGTTGGGCTGGAGGAGCAGGGACAGAATTTTGTAAGGCACACACCAGAAGGCCAGGAGGCCACCGACAGGGATGAGGTGTACACGATCCCCAACTCTCTGAAGCGGAGTGACTCTCCCACTGCTGACTCGGACACCTCCTCGCTGCACGAACAGCCTCAGCAGATTGCCATCAAGGTGTCTGTTCACCCCCAGTCCAAAAAGGATCACGTGGACGACCAAGAGGGGGTGCAGTTTGAGGTCAGAGATGAAGAGGAGACAGAACCCTCAGCCGAGCGTTCCCCGGAGACTGCAGAGCCTTCTACAGATATAACATCCACCGAGCTCACATCCGAAGAGCCGACACCCGTGGAGGTGTCAGACCGAGACCTGCCACCAGCTCACCTGGAAGTAACAGAGCCAGCAGTGACACGTGACAAAAACACCTGCATTATTTATGAAAGCCATGTCTAATAGCAACTCCGAAAAGCTATGCATATCGAGAAAATCAGGGGCTGCTCCTTGTAACACAGATGTAGTAAGCACTTGCCGCTAAGCCTTACCAGGAGACTCATCCCTGTAGGTAGGAGTGAGACGATTGGAAAAGGGGAAACAGCTGCGCACAGGTTACGTGACTGGAACCTCCTCCGTAGAAAGGATGCGAGGAAGATCAGGGTGCAGAATTGATAGTGTCACACAGAAGGTATCCGTCCTTGTGATATGAATTTTAGAATTGGCCATTTTCTGCCAAACCCCTTAATTGGTGATGCCCTTCTGGCAAAGAGTACACTACTGTTAAGATATTCCTGAGTTCAAGAGCTCTGTCCAATGCATCAGCATTGCTTTTCCTTTTAAAAATTATAGGTCTGCTACAATAGCAAACGCACGTACATGGGTTTGTTGCACTTTCTTCTCAGTTTTATTTATGTTCACTTTATAACAGAGTAGTTGATATTATATTAATACTAATTGCTCTTTCTGATGGAGTCCTCTTTATCACCTTCATTTTTATTTTTCTCCGGAAAGGTTTACCTCAGAGGCTTTGGTATCAGTCACCCATTCCAGGACTGATATCTACAAGTCATTTGTAATGTTCCAGAGTAGTTGCTAGGATCATTTTTTTTTTCATTCCCCAGGTCTGTTTTCATACTTTGCTTTTGTTTGTTTGTTTCCAATGAAGCTGCTCTAATGAAACTGAGAAATACTTTGCCCCAGAATCGCACTTTAATAGTCAAATAAAAAATGTGTTTACCTGTCCAATTCTGAGAGCCTTTTGGGGAACTCAACCGAGGTGTGGAGGGAGATTGTAAAAGGTTAAATATACCCACTCTGCTCATGAAAACTATTTACACTGAAGTAACATCATCCTCCAAACCAAGACTGGTTCTTTACCTGGAAAATTTATCGCTTCCAAAGACAGAGGCATTTCATGAATTCCTGTAGGTCATAGGGTCTTGGCATCTCAGAAGGGTTTGCAGGACCACGCACTGTCAGTCAACTAAAACACTTGACTTAAGGCAACAAATACAAGGATCTGTGAAGTGCATAACCAGGGCCATTTGTGTAAACGACCTACTGACTTGCTGGTTCTTGAAAGGGAGAGTGAATGACTAGGGTGATGGCAAAGAGAACCATGCCATCAAGTTTTATGCCAAAATTATTGAATTATTAATCCCACACGGCAGCGTGATGTTATGGAAAGAAGATAAAACTAGTCATCCAGAGGCTTATTATTTCCCTGACTGTGCCAATAACTGGCTGCCTGGCATGGGGCAAGTCTGGGCCTCACTCTCCCTGTCTGTAAGAGGGGGCAGACTAGATGAGCTCCGAACACCACCACTCTCTCAGAGACCAATATTAACATCTTCAGTCTTTTTCACAATTACTCTAAAGATTTTTTTGCTTTCATCCCTGGGTTCTCCAAATATTTTTATGCTGCATTACTTAAATAAAGAGAATTAGTTTTTGAAAAACCATAGCATTTTAAACAAATTGTGGAATCTCTCCTCCCCCACCCTACCCCCCCAAAAATCATTAGGACCACTTCTATAATTTAGATTCAGTCTTAGGATGAGTGGTATTTTACTACATCTTCATGTAAAGCAAAGGAGTGAGTCATGGCCGTATCAAGTGTGATGAGCATCTGGGGCTGTGAAGTCAGAGGTTAAATGGGCCACAGTGAGAGAGCAGACCCACATAGTCTTCACTCTAACCATCTGGGGAAGTGATCTTGGAAAGGTCCCTTCTTCCTGGGTTTAATCTTTTTTCATCTGTAAAACATGCAGGCAGTATTCAGTGGTCCATTACATCCCTAAGTTCAAATAGAGTTTTATGGAAATGTTTTCAATCCTCAGTAATCCCCATGGCACAAGAAAAGAACAAATGGGAGCAAAAATGGGTACACGAGACTGGATGCTCCTGTGATCCATACTTCACCTTAAAGGTGTCTGGCTCTGTAACTGAGGTCAGTGGGCATGGCTTTAGGAGAGGTCTGGATGATGAGTCTATTTATAGGTAACTGATATGGAAGGTGATCTGGCAAGGCACGGTTTGACCAGACATCCCTTTAAAGATCACCTAGTTGGAAGCATCTTGTGGTGGGAGTGGGGGTTCACCTAAAGAAATTAGTAGTGAGCAATCAAAAGACCATCATTCCTGTTTGGGCTCTCTGGATTATGGTTGGGTTTTGTTCTTGTTTTTGTTTTGTTTTGTTTTGCCGATTTTTAAAAATTTTTTCTTTTTAGACATACAAAGACAGTAGAGTATATTTTGACATACATACGTGGGGTATAATTTATTCTAATTAGGATCCTATTCTTTGGTTGTACATGATGTGGAGTTTCACTACTGGTGTATTTATATGTGGACATAGGAAAGTTATGTCGGATTCATTCCACTCTCTTTCCTATTCCCATCCCTGGGTTATGGTTTTGTTTTTAATTTGCAGGTAAGTTTTTTGTCTCCCCCTCTTAGAATATAAAGGTTTCCAACTGTTGTGGAGATTAACAAACTCTTACCTTCAAATTATTAGCCCAAAATAGCAACAGAGCCTAGGAAACTCATCTGTGATGTCAGGTGAACTTGTCCCCATTCTCTCCAGTTCTCATTCCACCAAACCCCATGCTGATTTCCACAAGAAAACCACAGAAGGCATCCATTCCATGTAGATATTGATTAGGGATAATAATCTGGGCAGCTTTTTTTATGAAACAAGAGCTGAAATGTGTGACCAAAGAATGTTTCTCGAATAGTCTGGTCTCTCTTCTTTGGACTGGTAGGGCAGGAATGATATAGATTTTCAAAACTCCTTCTTTAAGGCATCAAAATGCTCTTGATATAACAGCCAACTTACAGGGAGCTTGGCTGATAATGAAAATTTCTCCTTCCAGAAATCCTACACGGTTCCTCTCCATCCTACAGCATTCATGAAATGAGAGAGGCCCTTATGCTAGAATATGAAATGTAGACCTCATGACTTTTCAAAAATAAAGTGAACTGTCAAGCTTCTTAGGAATTCTTAGAAGTGTGGCTGAATTATTGTACAGACACACACTCATACACTGGACTTATTTGAGCAGTTTTAAAATTTCCAATGCTAAATCCCAAGCCATGTCCTCTGGGTCTTATGTAGTCATTCTTAAAACCAAACAAATTCTGGTTTCTGAGTCCTCTTGGTCATATCTCTAGCAATTTTTTTCTTGAACTTCTAAAAATGATTCACATATGTGTGCATACTTAATTCACTTAGATGATCTATAAACTTGGATGGTATTTATTCTAAATGGGAACAAAACAGAATTTTATATGGGAAATCTATGTAATTTATAATGGTTTTCTTTTATATATTATATTTTCATATATTTAGGGCACATCTACTGCTATTCTCATCTTTTTGTACATCATACTTGACAAAAATAAATACTTATACTTGACTAAAATCTCTAGGAACCAAATGTGATGTATGTAATATATAACATAAAGGAATAATTCTAAAATTGCCTGAGTGTTCTCACCCACCACATTGTCGTGCCATGTCATTATAGCCATCTCGTTGGGGATGCTTGTAAGCCTTTCTACAACTAAGGCTGAAAGGCCCAACATCCTACACAATGGATTCTGGGATTCCCTTCCCTCGTCTTTTTAATTGTTTGTCTCATTTTCAATTGCACAAGTCTGAGTGTTTCAACTTCCTTTGGAAGGGTACATGTGAGATTACAAAAAAGCAACTTGACAGGTAGACTGAGTGCATTGGATCATGGCTATGTAAATTGTTTTAATAGATAGCATGTTTTAAATCTAATGCTTGGGTTGTTATTCACCAGTGATCTAGGATCTGCTCAGCTCTGTAGCATGTGAAGAAAATGTCAGGCACAGAGAACACCTGCATGTTTTGAACAGGGACACTGACCAATGCAATGCAGCCAACACAAACCACCTTGACTATAGAAATACCAGCCCCCGCTGCTGGAAGAAATATTTTAGGAAGGCAAATCAGTCACCTTTCAGCATTTAAAATATGGTGTATCAGTGCTAAAACGTAAATAGCAATCCCTCTGCTTCTGTTAACTGGAGATTTCCTTTCAGTGTTTTCAATTGGTAAGAAATGGAGCATTAAATTATATTTCAGATACTGTTTTTTTTTTTTCTCAGCACAGTTCAGCTACTATCCTTTACCTATTTTCACCTATTCCTTTGGCATTCCCCAAAGTAATTCCTATTTCTAGTCTTGCTTTTTAAGCTAACTTTAAATATCTACCAAACCTCATTGTATATTCACCCATATATTTTGAGCACCTGTTATCTTCAAGATATTGGTCACTTCTACATTCACCTATTCATTAAAAAAGAAACCCTCAACATAGATAGCAAAGTTAATCTTCCTAATGACATTTTTATAATTATGTTCAGTGATGAGCAGGTTTGGATTAAACAGATCAATTGTGGGGGAAAATAATCAAATAGAACAGAATTGCTTATTATATTTCCCAAAGAACTCAGTGTTTACCTGTTATACAAGAAAATATGTGAGGATGATGACACTCTTTAAATGACTGTTTTTTAAGAGGTGGAATTTATTAAGGGGCTAATGCTAAGAATCTTACAATCAAAATGAAAGCTATTAAAGGAAATGTAAAAATAGAAGTAGTTCTAAGACTATTCTGGCATAAATTATTTTCATTTGACCAGTGATAAAAGCCTCCCAATGTAACTTTCCAGCACCATGTAACAGCTAATAATGTTATGATCAAAGAAGACACTTTCACCTATGTTTGGGTTGCTGTATTTCAGTAGTTCTGAATGTCCTTTGTTAAATTGGAAAATAAGATGAAAAATGCGGGCGGAAATGTCAATCTGATGATTTTGTGAACTGTAAAATGTTCACTTTTAAAAATATATTAAGGATGTAAACAAATGACTAATATAAGTTGTCATTACTGTAGCAAAAAAAAAAAGATCTATCTTGTATCTTGATTGTTGCTTTAATAAAGGGTTTGCGCAGGTGTGTGGAATGTATGTCATGTCCTACCTGAAGGGCATGTCGTCGTAGCCTGATTTACTCTTCCCAGGGATACGAAATCTGTAGTGGATTCATATCCCCACTTTTGGCATCTTCAGTATTTCTTGGGAAAAGAAAAAAAACGAACCATTTTTCTATGTAAAACTGCAAAATTATATCCTACTTCAGAAGATTTAACTCTTTCCTGACAAATTTCAAAGAGATTTTTATCTATATCACAAAATCATTTGTAGCATGCAACATCAAACTTGCTCTTAAGATTGCCAAAATGACTGGGAAACTCTCAGAAGAGTTCACAGAAAGAAGGTATCAGGAGCAGAACCACCATGGATTACCTGAACAACACCAAATCAAAGGTTAAGGCCAAGTAGGTACTTTGAGATCAGTGAGCTGCAAAAGCTTGATTCCTTTTAGAAGAGGTGAGTGTCCTGGTGGGTGAGAAAGGAGACTTAGCAAGTGGAAAACTAACCAAAAGGACAAAGTCAGTATTCTTCTGTAGAGCACACCAAACAAGCAAGCAAAATAATTGAGTGGTTTCAAAAAAAAAAAAATATATATATATATATATATACACACACACACAGAGCATTCATATATATATATATATATGTATATATAATTTTTTTTTTTACTTGAACATCTTGCAAGTGAAATCCTAAATGGGGAACTCATGTAGTAGACTATTCTGTTGTTGATAGATTTTTAAGTGCTGAGTCAAAAGTCTTAAACACTGTCCCTGGTCTTTGTTGAGCTGGGAATCTAATGCACTCCTGACACAAGAAAATTGTCTGCTTTCCTGTCAATACAAACTAAAATTATATCCATATAAAAGGTTGGGCACTCCTGCTGCTACTACACTAACTACGCCTACCACTGGGAAACAGGAGTGAGCCAAATGGTTTCTGCCAATAGGGATGTTGTGTTAATTTTTTTTCTTTAATGACTATGATGGTAGTACCTGAGACAGGCTAACTTTGTAAGGAAAAGAGGTTTATTTCGTTTACAGTTTCAGATGCCAAAAGTCCGAACAGCCAGGCAAAGCCTCTTGCCAGGGTTCCCCTTGGTTGCATCCCTCCATAGTGGATGCCAACATCGGAATCCAGGATTGCAGGTGAGAGGAAGGGATTGAATCTTGAAAGGGCCAGAGAGGGATGAAAGCCCCACCAGTCCTTGCAGGTGGCTCATGGACCTTCCACTGGGCCGGTCTCTTAAAGGTCCCACCACTATACTGAGGACCAAGCCTCCCTCACATGAAACTTGGGGGACAAATCACATCCAAACCATAACAGATGTTAAAGGCAAAATCAGGTTCTTTCTCCACCTCCCTAACACATACCCAGAGCCTGAGACTCGGTAAATAAAAGGTGGTTCAAAAGCCAGAAAAAAAAATGTATATATAAATCAACTGATTCATTACCTCAGTAGATTAATGTGGTAGGTTTTTTATTGTTGTTCAATCCCTGTTGTACCAGGGATTGAACTCAGGGGCACTCAACCACTGAGCCACATCCCCAGCCCTATTTTGTATTTAGAGACAGGGTCTCACTGAGTTGCTTAGCATCTCACTGTCTCTGAGGCTGGCTTGAACTTGCGATCCTCCTGCCTCAGCCTCCTCAGCTTTTTAACTGCTACAACTAAAGGACCGGACCGGAACAATTGTAGTGGCTGGGATTCCAGGCGTATGCCACTATGCCCAGCATGTTCTTGTGTCTTGCTTAGTTACCTTCTCTCATTCTCTAATGAATTTGAGGTGATTGGATTAGGTGTATTTTAGTATCTGTGAATTCTTTGAAATTGTTAATTGTTGTGTTTCATACAAAGACACAGATTCTCAGTAACCAGACTATATTAATCAGACATTCCACACCCAATCATTTTGAATCAATGAAAAATTTACAGTGTGATTATAAAAGCAGAGCAGTTGTAACGGTTTATCTGCAGCTAAAACTGGAAGGCTTTCTGCTCTAACACATGACTATGACTATTACTAAAGAGGGTGAACTGTGGACAACAGAACATGGGAAACATTCAGTATGTTTTCTTCAAGTCCCTACATATGCATTTGGATTTGCCATTTTAAATCTTTTTCTTTGAGACTTTTAAAGCACTTCTATGTAAAAATACAAATTAAGAGTTATACACCTTTGAACTATTTTCCTTTTTCATTAAACATCTAATTCACCAATATAGAAAAATTCTGATACGATTTTCCTATTTGTGTGAGCTCTAAAGAGGGTGGCTATGCTTTATGATGCCTAAATTAGATTCGGTCCAATACCCAATCATAAAAGTGTCTCCATCCAATCAATAACAAAAATGTATACATATTCGCTGCAATGGTCTGAGTCTAGATGTGTATGTGTGCACATGTTTTCATACATGGACACAGCATAATTTGGTAGATTTTGTACCACAGTACTTCCCCCTTATCCTCCTCTTCCCAATCCTTCTTTATCTCCTTCCTGGATTGGTCTCCCTTCTATTTTCATGAGATGGTGTTTTAGTGAGCTTTTTCACTGCCGCAACTAAAGGACCAGACCAGAACAATTGTAGAGGAGGAAAGGTTTACTTGAGGACTAAAGGTTTCAGGAGGTCTCCATCCACAGACAGCAGGCTCCATTCCTCAGGGCTCAAGGTGAGGCAGAACATCATGGCAGAGGTAAGAGGCTCAGGTCATGATCAGAAAGCAGACAGAGAGTGCACTCTCCAGATAAAAAAAATATACCCGTAGCCACACCCCATCTGCCCCCAGCCACCACTCAATTATCCCATCAGGGATTGATCTCCTGATTAGATTATGCTGTGACACAGTCATTTCTCCTCCAAACCTTCTTGCATTGTCTCACATGTGAGCTTTTAGGGGACACCTTATATCCAAGCCATAACAGATCCCTTTTTAAAAAATTTCCTCTCTCCACACATGACAGAAAACATTTGAGCCTTGACTTTCTGAACCTGGCTCATTTCACTTAGCATGATGTTCTCCAGTTCCACCTATTTACCAGCAAATGCCATAATTTCATTTGTGGCTTTTATGGTTGAATCAAACTCCATCATGTGTATATACCACATTTCTTTATCTGTTCATCTATCGACAGGCACCTGGTCTGGTGTCATAACTTGGCTATTGTGAATGACACTGTTATAGACATTGGAATGCACAGAACACACTTTTTCAAATCAGTAATCTGCTTAATTAGACAAGTGGAACTTATTTGGAACCAACTGTAATAAGTATGATTTTCCATAAAAAATATGTGCCAATTTATCCATTTCTTGGAGCTTGATTTCCCAGCACTTTAGAATGGCTTGTACAATGAAGACTAGGGTAGATTGCAGAAGAGAGGGGACATTCACACACTTGAAATCCTAGAGAATTCTTGAGAGGCCTTGAATCTGAGGTAGCATTAGGTCACAGTGTAGGAACTCTGGAACAGCCGGTTCATACCCTAAATTGCCCTTGCAGCCAAGACAGGCAGAATATAGAAGAAAGACGTAGTTTCTACATGTCTAACCAAGTCCCAAGTCTCAAGGAAAGAAGATTACTCCTGGATCCAAAATGTCTAGTACTCACCACTGCTCTAAAGTCCTACAACTGAAGCTACAGAATGGAAGGAAAAAAAAAAAATCTTGGGTAGCTGGTAGCCCTGGCACATGGCTATATAATCCCAGAGACTGGGGAGGCTATAAAGGACTGGGTAAAACACCCCTTGGTTAAATCTCCAGTATTTTAAAAAAAAAGAAAAAATCATGAGCAAAAACACAAACAACCTCTGTGACTCTGGTGGTCCTATGTTATCCTCACATTCTTGTCCTTGAATAAGACAAGATCTAACTTTAACTGTACTGCATCATGGCAATAATGAGGTATCTGTCAATTATGATGTTACATTAAGAAGGCATTACAGGGGCTGGGGATGTGGCTCAAGCGGTAGCGCGCTCGCCTGGCATGTGTGCGGCCTGGGTTCGATCCTCAGCACCACATACAAAAAAAAAAAGATGTTGTGTCCGCCGAAAAACTAAAAAATAAATATTAAAAAAATTCTCTCTCTCTCTCTCTCTCTCTCTCTCTCTCTCTCTCTCTCTCTCTCTCTTTCTCTTAAAAAAAAAAAAAAGAAGAAGAAGGCATTACAGGTCTCAGTAAGACCCTAATGCCAATTGCCAAGTACTAAAATTAAGACAACTGGTCACAGTGTTGAGAGAAAAGAGGCCTGATCCAAACCCAAGGAAAGTGCAGGGGGCCTATTCCTGCACAGAATCACTTGATGAGTCTGCAAAGGTCCTCATTCAAAGCCCTTGAAATGCCACAATGAAGGATTCATTCCCCTGAGTAATATTTTTATTATGCAAATGTCCTAGGCCTGTGATCATCATTAACTCTTGTCAGGATCCTTAGTTCCTAGTATGAACTGGTTTCATGTTAATTCTCTACCTGACCCACTGAAATGTGAGCACCTAGAGAGACAGGACTATTGAAGAGGGCAGAGGAGAAGAGAAATGTTGACTCCCAGCAGATCGGCAGGACTGGACTGGGTGGAGGTTCCTGAGTGGCCAGATAATACCATGAGTGCTGGCTTCCTGGAAGCATGTCCATTGGAGGCATGATAAAATTGAAAAGCAGTTTTTTCATATTGTCACCCAGGACCAGCCACGCCAGATATCAACGAATTGATAAAATATGGCATATGGTAGGTGCATCAGTATATGTAAATTAATTACTAAAATCACAAAATATTGTACTCATTACATAATTTCTAGTTAAGAAATTTCTTCAGTCTTACTCATGGTTGTCTCCTCAATGCTTAAAGCATTTGGATCTAAGTTAATTAGTGTTCTGTTTTAAAAATAAAATTGTCAAATCATTTTTGAAAAATAATTCCCACTAATAGTGAAAGGCAGACTTTGGTGGAATAGCATCATCCAAATGCTCATTTATTTTGAATATGATGAATTAATTAAGATTCTTCCTTTTCATCAGGTTCAAAAGGTTCT